AATTCGAGAGGCGAGGATCTGACTGATAATGCTGGGCCTCCCTGCTCTGCGTTTTCTGTTTGGAGCCTCGAAGTTTCGTCCCCGTTTTTCGACCCACGTCCCCGCGGCCGAGCCCTGCCTTTAAAGCTTTGGGCCCTCCAGCCGAGGTGGGGTAAGGTGGGCGGGAGCAGAGTGCACCTAGTGCCACGCGTGACCAGTCTATATCGAGTCACCGCGCCCTCTAGAAGCGAGTCAGTTCGGAGCTTACATTATTTTGGCTCCGGAGTTCCCCGCGTTACGGCAGGATCATCTGGCACCCTTCTGCAGAGTCGTTCGTTCGTTCGTTCTCCTCCTCCTCCTCCTCCTCCTCCTCCTCCTCCTCCTCCTCCTCCTCCTCCTCCTCCTCCTCCTAGGGACTGGCGCTGGGAGTTCGGACCCAGCGTCCTTTGCAAAGAATCGCTTCTTGGGGAGCTCGCACCCATTGAGATTTGGCAGGGATGTGGTTGCCTTGGGAGCGCGGATCCAGCGGGGAAGGTTTCCAGAGCAGGGTGGGTCATCCCCTGGCTCGTCCCTTGACACGTTCCGTGGCACGTCCCGTGGCGCGTCCCGTGGCACGTTCCCTGGCTCGTCCTCCGGCGGGTCCCTTGGCGCTTCCATTGGAAGGCCCTTTGGCGCATTCACTGGCGCGCTCCATGACACCTTCCTTGGTCTGTCCTCTTGCGTGTTCCCTGGCTTGTCCTCTGGCGCGTCCTTTGCCACGTCTCCTCGTGCGTCCCTTGGGACGTCCCCTGGCATGACGTTCTCTGGCGCGCCCCCTCACGTGCCCCCATTAACACGTCCCGTGACAAGCCTCTGAAGCCTCCACAGAACGTCCCCGAACGCGTCCCCTGGGTATGCCCCCTGGCACGTCCCCCCTGGCACATCCCAGGGCGCAGCCACGGGCCGCGCGCCGCCTCTCGGTTCGTTCCGCTTCGGAAGTGAATCGGGTCTTGACCTCGAGTTGGTTGTGTCGACTACAGACAGCAGGTCGAGCTAACGATCCACATCATGTCAGTCAAGATCCGGACGCCAAGAAGGGCTGGATTCAGAACGTAATCGAGGACAGCGCAGCTCAGCACAGTGTAAAACAGCACAGTTCAGCACAGCACGGCACAGCGCAGCACAGCATATCACATCATAGGCCCCAGGCAGTGCCACTGCCCACTGCCAAATTTAATCAGGGCATTTCCATATCCCTTTCTGTGTTCGTGGGACGAGCAGTTTTGGGGGAGGCAGCGAGGGGCGGAGGAGGAAAGTGGGCAGGGCGACGTGGAAGATGGAGAGGAGGAAGTGGAGGAGGAGGAGGAGGAGGAGGGAAATAACAGGGGCGAGCGGCAGGGGAAGGGGAAGGGGGAAGGGGGAGGACGAGGATGCCGGCGACGAGGCTGCAGGAGGAGGTGAAGGAAGAAAGAGGAGGAGGAGGAGGAGGGTGAGATTAAGGGTGGTTGGAGGAGAAGGATGAGGGGAGAAGGTCGGGCAGTTCCGTGTCGTGCTTTCGCCATCCAGCCGCGCCTCTTGCGCCTGCTGCCTTTATGACATCGCGCTGCCGCCCCCCTGCGTTGGTTGGTCGTCTCCCCCGCCGCTCCCCTCCAGCACTCTCGTTGCTCCACCTCCTGCGGCCGCCACTCCCGGGGTTATGTTTATGTCGGGCGTGTCCCCCTACAGGGGGATTTCGACGAAAGATGAAAAATATTCAAAAATGCTCCAAAAAGGCCAAAAAATACTCAAAGAATAGTCCCCAGACTATTTTTTGATTATTTTTTGACTGGGCTATGGTCCAGTGCATACAGCAGGTTCGCGTCGTGCCGACCAGCGGCGACCCCAGCGCGTACGTTTAAGGTTGAACGCCGCCCGTGGCCCAGGGTCGGCCCGTCGTTGAGCGATCCGCGTTCGCGGGACGGCCGATCGTTCAAGTTTGAACGATCCCCGCGGTGTCAGGAACCAACGCCAGGGTCGACACGACGCGAACCTGCCGTACTTGGTCCCTTGTGCCAGCACGATAGTCGAAGGGAAAAGCAAGTGGTGGAGCTCAAGAGGAGGAACTCCAAGGATTCTTGTGGCGGAGGGGGGGCTGAAAAGAGGTCTTGAACTTTGAACGCTCCTAAACATGTTAGAAGCCGGTGGAAGCGAAAGACTTCAAGCTCCCGTTTGTCCCCCCTCCCAGAGGGAAAGCTGGAGGGCAATGTGGAGGGCAGAGGATTCGATCTAGGAGCCCGCGATAGGCCAGGGTCGAAACCTCTGCACCCCGTCCCTCATCCCAGGAGGAGGACAGGAGGGGAAAACAGCGAGGAGGAGTACGGAAACATGAGGGGGAGGAGGAGGAGGAGGGGGTAACATGCTGGACTCGTGCGCAACGTCAGAAAAGGAGGAGGAGGAGGAGGAGGAGGAGGAGGAGGGAGTTCGACAGTTCTCTGTGCTCTGTGGTTCCAGAGGGCCCGGGCGAGTTCAAGCTGATCCCAGGGGGCCCCAGGAGTCTCGAAGAGAAGATCTGGAGAAGCGCCGGCGGCGGGAACAGGCGTGCGTCCATGGGCGTGTGCCGCGGGCACAGGTCATGGCCCCTCACGTGTGAGGAGGGCCGCGCTCTCGCCGTCAGAACGCACCCCTGGAGAGGTCCGGGGAGCACATGGGTACCATGCAGTTTCCCCAGATTCTCCTCCCATCGCGCAGGACGTGGGAGGAGCGGGGAGAGGGGGCGGGGGGCGATTGGATCGGTGGGCAAGGCGAGGGCCTCGTGCCGACAGGCCGTACACCCGTTTCCAGCTTTCCAGCTGGGAGGCTGGGTACGGAATGCACGCAGCGTGGATTCGAACAGCAGAGGCCAGTGTCTGCGTCGCGCGCAGAAAATATGACGCAGCTTCCCTCGCCCTTGCCATCTCAGCCCCAGAAGAGCTGACGTCCAGATTTGCAGCTGAGTGTGCCACGGGTCGTTTGCCTCGCCTTCCGCTGCGCGCGCGGCTTCTCCTTCCGCCTCTTTGGGGGCTCCTGGGCTCGTGCCGTTTGCGCTGTTCCGCGCGGGCGCGCACCCATCGGACAAGACCCGGTGGCGCATTCCCCCCCCCCGAACAGTGTTCGACTAGACGTAAGAGTGACCTTTCGCCGGAGTGACCTTTGGTGCGGGCACAGATGGGTCCCCAGATGGCTAAAAACGAGGCAGTAGCAGTTGCTTGCGCGCCCAGGTTTGGTCCCCCCGCGGCCCCCCCAAAGTCGCGCACCAAAGGTCACTCTTACCCAGGGTCACTCTGACGTGTAGCCGAAGTGTGAGGCGCCCTCCCGGCCGCAAGGGTCTGGCGTGCGCCCCGAAGTCTCACGCCCCCCCCCCCCCCCTTGGCACGGCCCCCGTGCTCGAGGGCGGGCGGCCCGTCGCGCCGCGAGGTTTGCACTCTCCAGTGTGGCGGGGCGCGGGGCGTGCCGAAGACGGGGAGGAGAGGAGGAGCCCGAGGATGAAAGAGCCTGTCCGAGCGAAGTGCATCCACGGTGCCCCTGGAGCGCGTAGGAATGTGCGTAGAGTGCTCGCCGTGGCCCTCTGCCTTCTATCATCTGCTCCCCCTTGTCTTGTCCTTCCCTCTTCCTCTGGCATCACCCTTCTGCACCCATCGCCCACCTTCCTCCTTCCTGGATCCCACGTCCGCCAGGGACAGTCCGCCCACCGAGGTAGATGTGGGCGCGTCGCATTCGAAAAATATGACTGCAGTCGCGAACCAGGCCATACACACGTTTGCGCGACACGGACGGCAAGCTGGTAGGCCGCGCGGCGTTACAGACAACAGCGTCGCGGAGGCCTTGCGCGAAGCTCCTCTTCCCGACTGGCTCTGCTGGTGCATCGCGCGCGTGCACTCTGACGCGACACTCCGCTTCGCCCCGTGCAGCACAGCGTGGTCGGAATCCGGGGCGGCAGAGAGGAGGAGGGCGAGGGGGAAGGGGAGGCAGGAGAAGGAGAAGGGGAATCCTGGCGTGCGCGCCCAGGCGCCCAGTGGCCTGCCGAAGAAAGAGAAGGGGAATCGGCCTCCGTCGCTGGACCCTGTTCCCTGGGTCTGCCGCCGGAGCCGGACGAACCCCGGGGAGGCACGGCTGCTGCTGCTGGGCTGTGCGGGAGCCCTGCCGCACCCTCTGGGCGCACTGCCGGTGCACTGCGGGGGCGTCTCCGGAGCTCGAGCGCCAGAGGCGGCTGCTGCCCGTGCAGTTGGGGCCCTCTGGTGGCTGTCGTCGGAGCTTCGTCGGGCTCTGTTGGGAGACTCCGAAGCCGCCCGGGGCGCCTGCTGGGCCGGTCCTCTGGGGCCATGCTGGAGCCACCTCTTGGCCCTCTTGTTTTTTTTGTGCGGTCACTTGGGGCCGCCCTGAGTTCCTCTTAGGTCATCGCTCCTCCGGGGGCCCTCTGGATCCGTCGCGGGACCCTCTTCGTATCTTTTTATGCATCTGAGAGGTTGTTCGGGGCGAATTGGGACCGCATTGGATTCGTCTGGGACGCTCTTGGACCCTTCAGGGGGCTATCATTCATATCTAGTGGGAGCGCTTGCGAGGCGGATCTCATAGAATCACGAACCCTGACCTTAATCATAGGTGTGGAGGCCCCTGAGCGGTGGTGTTGTAGAAATGTGGAATGGGACTGAGTAGCCAATGCTGGACGAAGGAAGTCTCATGTTCGCCCCCGTGTTGTTAGCGTCCAGGCTCCTCAAGCAGTTCTAGTTCGACTCTTCAGAGTGTTGCTGGTACCTCGCGGGGGCCTCTTGCGGGCCTGTCGGGGGGGGGTGATCGGCGGCGCATGAAGCGATCCTTTGCAGATGCTAGTAGTCTTCCTTCCGCCTCTGCTTCACGCACGTCTGATCACAGGACAGGTGTGCAAGGCGGCACCGCTAGTTCGGTGTTTCTTGGTACGCCTTAACGCCCACATTCAGTACAATTGGGACTACAGCACAGCAGGCGTCAAGCCGTATCGTGTTATGATTTCTGTTGTTGGGAATGGGCAATAGCAAGGTTTGCATATGTATTGGCTCAAGCGTTAAGCCTGGGCCAGCTCGAAACATACAGATTCACATCGCGGGGCAGATTTGGGGGTTCGAAATTTCGTACCGCTGGTCTCCCTTGTGCGCATCATTCTAGACATCATGGTATCTGACATTCTCGTTGCCGCCGCCACCCTGCACCTTTCACTCAGTCTTGCAGCAAACTTGATTATGACCTTTGGCGCTAGCGCGAAAAAAGCCAGAAGGAGGGTATGAGGGTTTGGAAATAGAGCGTCTTGAGAACATTTCCACAGCTCAGCTCGACGTGGCCGAATGTGAAGTAACCTTCACTGCGCTTGTCCTCTCTCACCACGTACAGAGCGTTGATGGCGTGCCCGTCATGACCCTTTGCGTTTAGACCGTGCTGGCCCAGGCGATCCATCTCTGGGGGCGCACACTCTCTGGCAAGCAAATGCCTTGGGCTGTCATCGGCGCCCTTTCGCTGCACTTTTGCATGATGATCTTCGCCGGCGTCCTGATTGGAGGGGTGATGGATTCATGAGTGCGTCGTGAGCGGGGGAGAGCAATTTAGATTGTTCAAGACGTTCGCGTTCACCGCCCGCCCACGCCAGTTCTCGCTGGACGAGGCGAAGATGGCTCCACGACGGCATGAACAGATGCAGAAAATCATACAAGACCCCCCGCAGTTGAGTTATGTTGTTGCTGTTTGCGCTCCATTGTTGCTTCCAACCCATGACATGTTAGGGTCAGGCATGCCGCGTGGCTGATCGATCGTAGATTTGCCGTTTGGTCGTCGTCCCGTCATCAGTACCGACGGATCGGGGACATGGACGTTGGCTCTCTGGGCCTTTGCTTACTATCCACACCACGAGGCCGGAAATAACCCGAACACTGCCCAAGATCAACCAACGACGGCCCGAACGCTGCCTAAAAGGAGCCAAGCAGGGACCCATGCGGTTCAGGCGGGCATTGAACGGCCGAAGCGACAGCACGTCCGTGTTGGGCCGTAACTCCGTCGGAATGCCATTGAAAATCGGGCTGGTTTGGGGCCGGTTTGGGTCTTGTTCTGGGGCCCACGTGAAGCCCAGGAGCGTCCAATATTGATCCTGAATCGAGTCCACAAACGACGTGGGTGTCAGGTGTATGTAGGTACAGCACGAGCTGTAGGTCCCAGGTAGGGGGTCGGGGTTCTGAATGCAGGCGTCTGGATCGTTGTTTGTGTTAGACGTCATGTTCTGCTTGGGCGTGGACTCAGGCACGGCGTGCGGCATCATATGGCTTCATACCATAGCACTTGACACACTGCCTGAGATCTAGTGGCATTCGTGCCTCGGCTGTGGGTTCCGAAGCCTCTTGCATGCTGCTCGGGGTTGCGTGGAATGCCTTGCGAAAGCATAGGGATACTGTATGGTGTTTGCGTTGGTGCAATAGGTATGAATCAAGTAGTACCGAAGTGGTATCGTGAGCGTCACGCGGATTCCTGCGGGCGTGGATCCCTAGTGTTGGGGAGGTGTGTCGGATGTTGCATGGCCAAATTGGCATCCCAGGGAAACCGCTGGAGGCAAATCGATCGAAGGGAGCGGGGTTGGATGATGAGGAGGAGCAGGAGGATGAGGACGTGGAGGAGGAGGAGGAGAAGGAGGAGGAGGAGGAGGAGGAGGAGGAGGAGGAGGAGGAGGAGGAGGAGGAGAGAGAGAGAGAGGAATGTAATAGCTGCGACGCAGGGAACGACGACGACGATGACGGCGACGACGTGGACGACGACGACGATGACGCTGACGACAACGATGACGTGGATGACGACACAGGTAGACCAGGCGTGAACCATAACAGTCTGTGTCCGCGAGCTTCCGGGATGCCTCTTGGGTGTTCTTTGAGCATGTAGGCTTCAAGTGGTACCATTCGAGCACCAGTGACGTCTCTCGGACCCTCTTGGGGTGCATGTTAGGACCTCTTCCGGGCCTGTCGGGGGCGTCCTCGGGCTTTTTGGAGACTGTTTGGGGTTTTTGGGGGGCTCTTGGGGCCTCCTGTGGGGCCTCTTGGGACGAAGGGTTCGAAAAGTTCGACCGGGCTTCTCCTGTTGGACCCCTCTTGGGCCGTCCTCAGGGCCTCTTGGGCCGCCTTGGGGCCCTCTTGGGCAATATTGGTGCCTTTTTGGCAGCCTCTTGGGCCGTCTTGGGGCGATCTTGGAGCCCTCTTTGGGCCGTCTTGGGGGCTCTTGGCGGCCTCCTGGGCCGCCCCATCCGTGTTCTTGTAAAAGTTGGTCCTGTTCCAGGCTGTTTGGGGTCCGTTTGGGGGCCCCAAGTGGGGCTCCGAATCTTCCAAAATGGACCCCGGAGCGCGCCCAAAAACGGCATCCAAGTTCGAATGATGAAAAATATCCCAAACGAGCCCGAAAGGCAGTTGTAAGAAGCGTCGGGGTCACGCCCAGGGAAGCGAAAATCGTGAAAAAAACAATCGTATTTGCTACACTTTTTGACCTTCCAGCTTTTCGGCGAGAACGGGCGAATCGCAGGAAGGTCACCAGCGGGCTGCAGGCTGGCCACGGCGGGGTCGCTGGCGTGTCGCGGGCGGGTCGGACGACGACGTCGGGCCCCGTTCCGCCCCGATCATGGCATGTTAAGTTTGGGTTATGTGCATCGCCTGCTTCGCTGAGCACACTGAATGGTTTGGCTTTTGTGCCCGTACCCACCGCGCAGGTCAGCGCGTCGAGCGAGCGCAAGACGTGTCCCGACGACCCAGCGAAATTTCAAGACTGCCGAATGTCTAGCATGACATCGTGCGGATTTGCCCACCTCGCCCAGAGAGGACGTTTGGGTCGCGGGCCTCCCACCCAGCGTCGTTGAGAATTCCACGGTTTGCCCGTCGGAACCGATGAGCCGAAGCGTCCAGGGAGGTTGACGAGGGCTGGGCGGGGGCGACCCCCGACAAGGCAGACAGGGCGGCAGTGTAGATCGAGGAACAACAAACTGCATGTACATCAATGTTCCGAGCTCCGCGCGGATATATATCTGGGATCGGCGCCAGACCCGCCAGCAGGAGGACCCAGCGCCGATCCTAGAAATCCGCGCGGGGCTCCGAAAGTTTATGCTTCTGCAGCTTATGGTCTGCGAGGCATTTTCGAGCTGGCGGGGCAGAGGAGCCCGGGCGTCGGGGGCAACAGGCGCCCTTCCGCCACTTGCGCGCGTGCTCTGAGCCTGGGCATTTGCACCCCGCGCCGCGCCGGCTGGGATGCGCGGCGGCCGCCGGCGCTGGCAGCGCGCGGCGGCCCAAATGTCCAGGGCGGGATCCGCAGGGCTGGCGCCTTCCCACCACAGCCGAGGAGCGATGCCGAGGAGGACGACGACGACGACGGCACGGAGGTCGAAAAGAAGTTCAGGGTCAATCTGGTCGTGGGCGCTCCCGCGTCGTTGAGAGTTCCACGGCTTACCCGTCGCAATCGGTGAGCCGAAGCGTCCAGTAGGGCTGACGAGAGCTGGGCGGGGGTTCCCCACAGGGCGGCAGTGTAGATCGAAAACAAAAACAACTCCATAAGCATAAACGTTCGGAGGTCCACGTGGATTTTTTAGATCGGCGCTGCCCCCCCCCCCCCCGGGCGGCGCCTCCGCCTCCGCCTCCACGCGGACCACCGAGAAAGTATGTTTATGCCATTGTCGCTCCTCTAGAGGAGGGGGACAGAGGCACGGAGGAAGAGGTGGAGGACTTAGAGGAAGGGATGGATGATGGAAATGAAAAGGGGCGGTTCGTAATCAGTTTTGGTCAAGCCGTGTTGGTTCAAGCTCCCAGGACACAGGGTAATTAAGGGGCCGTTGATCCCGCTGCGAAGTCTGCAGAGCACCACAGCCCCGCGCCGCCATTGAAGCGTTCCAGAGCATGGGTTCACTAGACCACGACAAGGGAGCGGGTTCGATCCATGTGGTGTGCCCTACCTGTGATCACCACAACGCAAAAACAGAGTCGTCATACGTGATGAATCCACCGCAATCACACTCCACCATGGATCCCGTCCGGTCTAAAGCACGGTGGATGGAGCAGTGACAGATTTGAGAAGACGGGCTCCGAGTAGGGAGGGAGTGGGGTAGGAGGAGGGGGCAAGGGCCCTCGTCTCGATCCAAGACCTTACAGGCTTCATTTTCTTTATCAGGGGTGTCCCATGGGAGTGGCAAGGTGTAGCATCTTGTACTAACTGTTGCCGCCCTTTTTGAACAGACAGGACAACGGCAGCAGGTGTTCGATAAATGCCGGGCAGGCAGTACGATTTCCCCCCCCAGCAGAGATACCGTCTAAGGCTTCCACGGTGCGATGTCTCGGGTGAGCAATGGAATTGTGCGCCAGACCATGTCGCACAACACAAACGCCCCCGCCCATGGCACTCAAGGCGCAGCCCCCGCTGAAGGAGGTGATGGATCAGGGGTAGCAGGAGAGGCAGCAGGACGCTGGCGAACAGCAGTTTACCCAGCTACAGTAACACTAGATGACACCAGGAGCAAAAGTAGCAGCGAGCAGCGGCGAGTTGCTTGCATTCAGCCCCCGTTCGTGTGAGCGGCTCCAAAAGGGCACAACGGAGAAGCATGGCGGAGCCCTCGTTGAGTCACGGAGCCCACAAGCAAAGGCGTGGGCATTGAGCATTCTTACGCGTTTGGCTATCCTGAGTTTAAGGACATTTCACACGAAGCTCCAGCAACGGTCGCTTCAACGGTTCCAGCACACTTCGGCAATAAAGGGGATGCACAAGGGGACGCAGGCCGAAGCCCAAGGGCATCACAGGCGGAAGGCTTGGGAGCACCTTGGGCCGCCGCGGAGCAGCCAGTTCCACCCTCTGGTCGCCTCTGTAGGGGCAGGACCCGTTGGATCCAGGGGCTGACTGCGGCAAGCCGGCGACCCAGCCCAGGAATCCTGAGGCGGCAGCTCCACCCTGGGCACACCACGCCGCGGCACGACGTTTTTTCGGACCCCGCTCGGGCGACAGGAAGTTCACTGCTCCACGCCCGCCCGCACATGTTCGCTTCGCCCGCGCGCTCGACACTTCAAACACGAGTGCTACGAGAGGTCCAGTTTGCACATACGAATCATCATGCGAAACGGCTGCTGCTTTATATGATGTTAATCCAGATCCCCCCATCCCCACCCCACCCCCCGACGCTATCATCACTCGCCCGCCCGAGCCACCGATCTGAACGAGGAAGTCCGCGCGTCAGTGCGCTTGTTGGGAGTTGCTAGCCAGTTTCTGTAGGTAACTTCACTCACGGCGTCCTGAGAATTGCCAGTAAGTGCGGGTGGGTGGGCGGGTTCTATGTTCGGGAATCGGCATTGGTGACGTCAAGTTGTACAAAGTTAGTTGTTTGCCGTGCACTGTGAGTGCAAGTAGATGGCGGAATCCGCGATGGAAGCTTTTACATTGCGTGCAAAGATAGATGGATTGAGAGAGAAAGGGAGAGAGAGAGAAAGAAAGAGAAAAAGAAAGATATATAAAATCACAGAGAAAGTTAGATGTACTCTTATGTAAATATGATACAGTACGCACACATATTTATATATGATCAGCCAAGCGTGAATGCCTCCAGTCAGTACGCCGCTGTCTGTATTCCGTAGCCTTCGGCTTAGGTTTTTCTTGGGTGTATGCTCACCCTAGACCTCCAGGCCCTGTATACCGCCGCGATTGCAGGGCTGCCTGGCTGGGCCGCCCTCATCTGGCAGGCCGCGCGAGGGCCTGGACAGTCCGCCGCCCCTGAGGGCGGAGGAAGCTACCCAGGGCACGAGGAGGAGTGCCCCGAGGTGATCTGCGAGTGCCCGGAGGTGGTCTGCCCGAGGCCGGAGTGCCCCGAGACCGATTGCCCAATCGTCGAGTGCCCGTCGGTGCCCGACCCCAGGGAGTTGTACCCCTTGCTGGAGGAGGGCCTCTTCGCCTTCCTCTTCGTGCCGTTGTTGCTCGCGACAGCTGCGGGAGTGCTGCTCGGCCGCTGGTGCGCCAGGAGGACGCTGAGTCAGAAGGAGGCGGGCGGTCAGCAGGTCATCCCGCCCGTGACGGACGAGAAGCGGCGGCAGCTCGCCGCTGAGCAGGTGGCAGCCGTTCGGGCCCGTCGAGAGGCGGCGCGCCACACACAACAGTGAGAATGGCAGCCAGGGGAGACTACATCCTCATCAAGTACAACGGGGTAGGGGAGGACCTGCACCATGAGACGTTGATCACGGGGGTCAGTGCTGAGGATCCCACCGAGGTGACGCTGTACACCGCCGATCGGGACCACTATCAGTTCAATATTGCGCCTGGAGATGATGTTGAGGCGGTGTATTGGATCGGGCTGCCAGGAGGTCGTCCAACTCATGTGCCAGAGAATGAGATCTATCGGTTCCGCCACAACGTGCCGCCCAATGAACGCCAGAGGCTCTTCGCGGAGGCGCAGGGCATGCTGGGTGCTGCGCCGGCGCCGCCACCAGCCCCCTTGGCGGCCCCGATGCGGAACGTGCAGAGGCAAGGTCTGGGCCGCCCCGCAGGGGCGGCCGCCAGACGCGCCGAGCCCGGCCGCGTGTGGGTATTTGCCGAGGACCACGGCCGTCACCAGAAGGGCGACAGTGTGGAGGAGCTTCCTGCTGGGGCGGTGGTGCTGGGAGAGAGGGCGGTCGCCCCCACGGCGGACGGCAGCACGGCTTTCTTGCAGATGATCCCTCAGGACAGCATAGTTGAGTTCAAGATGGACGATCTCAGGGTGATGCCAGTGAAGTTCGACGGCATGGGCCGACGCAGGAGGAGGAGGCTCTTCCAGGATGGCGTGGCCAGCTTCGCGCCCGACGAGCCCGAGGGGGGCTTGGGGTTGGAAGGCCCAGGCACCGTGTCCTGGAGGTGCCAGACCTATGTCGAGAGGTCCCAGACGCCAGTGTCTCAGCACGCGTCGTGGAGAGCGACGTCGGGCGTCTCGAGTGGGGACCGCAGCGTCTTCGAGCATGAGGTGCTCTCCGAGGTGCTCGAGAGCATGGCGTGCACAGACCAGCTGCACGCCCCTGCGCTTCGCAGCGCCGAGCTGGTCTGCAGGAGGCTCCAGCTGATCGAGAGCGCCCACTCCCTGAACCCCTCGGCCCCCGACTACTCGGCCGCCGACCAGCACATGGGGTGGGGCCGCCGCCGTCAAGGCACGATGGCGGCCCCGTTGCTCCAGCAGCACGTGGCGACGGCCCTCCGCGACGAGCACCAGGTGGCCAAGGAGCAGAGGAAGGCCCGGGAGGAGCGTCGTCTGGGCCGCCAGAACAACAAGAACAACAAGGACAAGGCCCCAGAGGGCCAGGGGTGATGCGGCCCCCTCCGAGGGGCGACGGACCTAGCCTCTCGGCAGTGACACACCCAGGAGGTCCACAACTTTTTGATAGAGCTCGGCCACGGGATCTATTTCCACCCCCTCATGTTGTTGAGCAATCGGCTACTGAGGGGCATCCCTCACGCTCGGTGCGAAGACGCCTGGCGAGGAGGAGGTTTTTGGACAGAGCCACCAACTCTGTCATCAGTACCTTGAATGAGATGCAGGGCTGCGCCGGGGTGCACGATGGAGCCCCCGCGATGGGCCAGATGTCGTCTCAGGATGCGATACGCTGTGACGTCGCGCCCACTCCGCCATCTCAGACCTTGTACACCAGACACGGGGCCGTTCGCGAGCTCTTGTCAGGCATCGTTGACTATGCAGGCAGCGATTGCAGCACCACGGTTCGTCCCTATCGGCGGGATCAGGTTTCTCTTCCGGATCCCGGGAGGCCCTCGGCGGATTTGCTGTGTACCCTCCCAGAGCCTGACCAGGATTTGCTGAAGTCATGGGGTACTCATATGCTTGCTGACCCTGCCGATGTGGGGTTCTATCGAGAGTCGGGACATCAGTTTAGGTTGTATTTCGACGAGATTTGCAAGGCGCAGCGAAATGTCTACGTTGAGTTTTTGAAAGACCTTAGCGACGCCCAGATGATCGGTTGGACTGAGAAGCCTCTGAGCTTGGTGACCCCCTTCTTTGTGGTAAAGAAGCACGACAGGTTACGACTCATCATGGATTGCAGAAACACGAACCTCCTCTTTCGAGCACCCCCTGCCCCTGAGATGGGCACGGCTGCAGCGCGGGGCAACCTGCAGCGTCCTGAGGCTTGTCCTGATCCCGAGGCCGGCGGAACTGACGCATGCGGAGGTGGCGGAAGCAAACTCTGGGTAGCTCAGGCGGACGTGAAGGACTGTTTCCACTGTGTTCGCAACCTTCCAGAGCTGTGCCCGTATTTCTGCATGCCGCCGATCACGGAGGGGGAGCGAGCCGACGCTGGTATTGGGGGCCCTAGTGGCCTTGGGGACTTAGCTCGTGAGGTCTCGGTTTACCCAATGCTGTTGACTCTTCCAATGGGCTTCTCCTGGGCCGTCTACTTCGTCCAGCGCCTCGTGGAACACCAGTGCAGAGTTTCCCTGGCTGGGGCTGGCCTGGCTTTCAAGTTTCTGAGGGACCCGGCCCCTGCTCCAGACCTTGGGACCCAGTTGGCTGTTCTACCTTACTGCGACAACATCAATGTAGCGGGCATCAGGAGGGAGGAGGTGAAGGAGGCTACGGATGTGATCGTTCGGAGGCTTCGTTTCGTGCAGTTCACTGTCCATGAGGAGACCGAGCCCGAGACCCTGTCGCACTCGCTGGGTCGCGTCATCGATGGGGAGTCCTGGGTAGTTCGTAATCGATCTGAACGAGGGGGGCGTCTTCGCAAGGTCTGTGAGGCTCTTGAGGGGGGTCAACCAGTGACGGGTAGGCAGATGAGGCAGTACCTTGGCCACGTGGTCGATTTCTTTCTGATTAGACGGGAGATCCTCTCGGTGCTCAGATATTGCTATGACTTTGCGCAGGCGGCAGATAAGAAGCCCCAGAGTTCGTGGCCCTCTGCTCGGCGCGAGGTTCGCTGGATACGCTCTCTCACTTTCATTGGTCTCGCTCGGCTGGACAGGCCTTGGCACGACACAGCCGTGTCGACTGATGCGCGCGAGTCTGGTGCAGGGATCGCTGCACGTCGCGCGGACCCCGCAGAGGTGGCGTCCATTGGCCGAGTCCGAGAGCGGTGGAGATATCGCTCTCGCCATCCCCTTCACTGTCGTCCTCGTCTGCGTGCCCTGGGAGAGGACCCTCTACACGACGTGGACACGGTCTTGCCAGTAACCCGACAGGCCCTTGGGGAGGCACCTGAGAACCTGGAGGTTAACCCGGGGTTCGACGAGATCCCAGAGGCCTTCATGGACCCCAGCAAGTGGCACGAGGTGTTTGCTATGCGTTTCAGGAGGGAGGAGGCTATACCTATTCTGGAAGGTCGGGCGTCTCTGTTGGGGATACAGCACTACATGAGGTCGTCTCGGTTTTTTGGAAAGCGCCTTCTACTTGTGGGGGACCAGCTGGGGAACACGTTGGCTATTGGGCGTTCTCGGGCCTCCTCGCACGACCTGCTCATAATCATCAGGCGTATCGCTACCTATATGTTGGCTACTGGCTCGAGTCTCTCTGCGCGGTGGACCCCTTCTGAACTCAATGAGGTTGCCGACCGATCCTCTAGACGATGGGAGAGTGACGTCAGGGCTCCGAAGGGCCGCAGCGGCTCGGGCGCCCACCCGCCGCGCCAAGTGTCAGAAGACGGCTCTGGCGCGCCACGGGGAGGGCGTGACCTCGCGACTCCAGCGGCACCACCGGGGATCCACCTCGGCGAGGCCTGTGAGCTCGGCGCCGCTGCGCCTTCAGCGCCAAGGGGCGGTGGAGCGCATCTCGGGGCCCTCGAGGGAGAGCCGCCGGGAGAAGCGCCAGAACATCTTCGGGGCTTTCGAGCGTCGGGCCCTGTCGGGCCAGCATTCCATTCTCGAACGTCACTCGATTACGGCGCCCACGGAGGGCCTGTACACAGCCTGGTGGGAGGAGCTCCAGGATTTTGCGGATATGAACGGCTACACCTTGGACAGCGTGAAGAATGCCGACATTGCGCTGGTGGACTTCGCGGACTACTTGTTTCTCGAAAGGTTCGAGCGGCCCGACCTCATGAAGATGTACGCCGCGGCCGCCTGGCACCTGGCCGGCCTGTCGCCCATCGGGAAGTTGCGGTTCCCGCGGTTCTCCCGCGCAGCCCGGGGGCTAGGCCTGCCGGCGCCAGCGCAGACCGTTCCGCCAGTCCCCTTCGAGGTGGTGCGCTGGATCGCTTGGCACATATACCACCGCCTCCAGGACTGGACCATCCCACTCTGCCTGCTGACCATGTTCGTCTGCTACTTCAGGCCCGTGGACGTCCACAGCTTGAGGGAGGAGGACCTGGTGCCGCCCGGAGGCTCGAGCAGCCACTGGGTGCTCAACGTGCACCCCGCGCGCCGCGGGGAGACGTCAAAGGTGGGGGTGTCCGACGAGGCGCTGCTCCTCGACTCCCCCTACCTCCCAGGTCTGGGCCCAGCGCTGCATCGGCGACGTCGCGGCCAACGGCTGGCAAAGTTGTTCGATGTCAGCGAGAGGGAGCTCAGCCTTCAGTGGGGCCGCTCGCAGGAGCAGCTCGGGCTGCTTCCATCCCAGCGGCATCGCCTGTACCAGATCCGTCACGCGGGGCCGCCCCACGACATCCCCATGGGGGCCCGCACGCTCCTCGACGTCAAGCGCCGGGGGAGGTGGAGCTCGGACGCGACCGTCAAGCGGCACGAGGCGGCGCGGGTGGTGCAGCAGGAGTGGGCCAAGCTGTCGACGGCACAACAGGCCGCCGCGACTCGCGCGGCAGAGTGGATCAGGCCTCAGGTGGGCATGTTCTCCGACCCCAGCCCGGGCGGGCGCGACGCTGGAGGACGCCGTGGCTCCTCCAGGAGCTGCATTGCGGCACGCACGGGATCCTCGACAGCGCGGGCCGCCAGGGCATCGGGGGCGTCGGCTGGGACACGGCCATCAGCTCAAAGGCCGACCTCTCGAGTGCGGCAGTCATCAAGAGCATCGCCCGCGACTTCAAAGCGGCCGAGAATCGCTTCGGGCTGAGCGGGGTGTTCGCAGTTCTCTGGGTTGGAATCGTTTGCTCAACCTGGACTCGCCTTCGCGACCGCCCGCCTCTTCCCAGATTACGAGATGATGATGAGTACTGGTTGGGGTACCCACAGTATGAGCGCGATTGTGATAGAGAGGCTGTGCAGTTGGGAAATCTCATGGTGGAGCTATTAGTGAAGCTACTTCGGGAACTTTTACCGAAGAGAGTCGTTGTGGTCATAGAGAACCCACTGACGTCCAGGCTCTGGCTTCATCCTGGACTACTGCAATTGAAGGCTGATTTTTCTGATCACCAAGACGTGTTGCTAGATCAGTGTGCCTACGGCACTTCTTGGAAAAAGCCCACGAGGCTGCTGGTGTGGCACTGCCCTGCGATGAAGGCGCTGGGCAGGCGTTGTACAGGCACCAGAGGTGTTTGCGCCTTCACACAGCAGCCTCATGCGACTCTGACCGGCAAGGTGCACGGAGTTTGGCGTACCAAGCAGACCCAGCAGTACCCACAACGTTTTTGTGCAGCTTTCTCGCGATGCCTGGCTCGGCATCTCAGACACAGTCCGCCTTCTTTGTAGCCATTTTCCGTGCCCTGCCAGAACACTATATGATAGCGGATGCGGGAGACATTGATTATTGAATACTATTTCTCTGCGCGCTGATTTGATTGTTGAAGTGCTGCCGGCATTGTTTTCGGCCAGCTGCGAGCCTCACCCAACCGACAGCTGGCAATACACAATGTTTCTAACTTCTGGCGGAGACACGAAGCAGGCATGATCAGCCAAGCGTGAATGCCTCCAGTCAGTACGCCGCTGTCTGTATTCCGTAGCCTTCGGCTTAGGTTTTTCTTGGGCCCATCGTCCACCCCAACACCTCCTAGGAGACATTGATTATTCAATAATCTTGCTCTGCGCGCTGATTTGATTGTTGAAGTGCTGCTGGCATTGTTTTCGGCCAGCTGCGAGCCTCACCCAACCGACAGCTGCCAATAGACAATGTTTCTACCTTCTGGCGGAGACACGAAACAGGCATATATATACATGTATACATGTGTGTGCGTGTGTGTGTGTGTGCGTGCGTGTGCGCGTGTGCACCCTGAGCGCTCCCACCGCCCGATCGGGCCCAAGATCGCTTCCAGGACGGTCCCACGGAGCACCGGAACGGCCCAAGACCGCTTCAAGAATAGCCCGAGAGGGGCCCAAGAGCGCCCAAGAGGCCCAGAGGCGGCCCAATACGGCCTCAAGGCGGAAACGCGAGGCTTCCCCAGACGCCCCAAAAGGCCCCAAAGAGTGAGGAGGCAAAAAATAGTGATTTTCTCTAGTGGTTTCAAGATGTTTGAATTCCCGTCGTATCGGGCAAAGAGCGGCCCAAGACGGCTCCGACGGCCTGCGAGATCGCAACAAGACGGTCCAAGAGGCCCCGCAAATCGCACCCGGGCGCGGCCAAAGAGGGTCCCTAGACGGCCCTAGCGGGCTCCAAGACCGCCCAAGAGGGACCCAACACGACCCGAGAGGGCCCCACGAGGCCCCCAAGGGGGCCTCCAGTAGAGCCCCAGGACGGCCAAAGCCCAGCATTACAGCCTAGAAGGGCTCCAGGACGGCTCACGAGCCCTGGAGAATTTTTCAAAAGGGCCCCATGAGGACCCCAACGACGGCCCAGAGAGACCAAATACATACATACATGCATGTCCGAGGCCGTCTGGAGGCTTGCCAGAGGCCTCCAAGTACACTTGCTCGGGTGTTCGGATGACTTGTTCGGGTGTTAGCGCTTTGGAGTTATGGTGTTCAGGTTTGGGTGTTAGGACTCGGGTGTTCGGGTTGGGGTGTTCAGGCTTCGGTGGTTGAGTTCAGGCTGGGATGTCAGCGTTAACGTGTACGCTACGGTGTTAGGGTTCTGGCGTTCAGGCTGTGGTGTTCGGCCCCCCGAGAGCCCCAAGATGCCCGCCAAGAGGGCTCCGAATGTCAAAATTAACAAAAATCCGTATAGCTTTCCTGGTACATGTCAACGTGCCCATTTTGTCCAGGACAAATGTGGCTCCTCAGGAGGCCCCAAAACGGCCCAAAAAGGCCCTCTGATTGCCCAAAAGGTTCCGCAAAACATTTCAAGATGGCCCAAAGAAGGACAAACCGAATTGACATATCGAGCGCTCGAGCCCCCAAGAAGCCATTAAGGCGCCCAGAAGCAACAGGCCCCCATGACGCCCTCAAAGTTCCCAAAACACGATTAAAAGCCCCCTCCTGGAAGCCCCACAAGCTCTAGCACCCCTATGGGCTTGATGCGTCCTACGACCCTGTATTCCGATCGACCTCGCGAATTTCACAACCTTTACGAACCCCATGATGTTGACGACCCCTTTATGAGTCGTACGACACCTACGAGCCCAATGAGCCATATGAGCCCCATAAGCCCTACGAGGCCTATAAGCCCTTCGCGCCCTCCAAGAGGCCCCCGAGACCCTCCACTGTGAGCCCTATGGGCCCCATCAGCCCTACGAGCCCATGAGCCCAATGAGTTCCCGAGCACCACGACACCTATGAGCCCAACGACCCTGGCGAGCCCTTCGAGCCCTACGAATCCTACGACCCTTGTCAGTGCTACGAGCCCTCTGGGCCCCATCTGCCACACTTCCCTTACGAGCCCTACGATCTCTATGCACCAAATAAGCTCACGAACCCAATGCGCCATAGAACCCCATCCTCCTCACGACCTCATGCGCCTTCCATCCCCTACGAGACTCATGATCCGGATGAATGTATGAGCCTTTCGACTCTTCCGAGCGTTATCATTCCTACGAACCCTCTGAGCCCCATGAGCCCTGTGTGCCCTGTCAGAGGCTCCCCAGACACCTTCTCTAGGAGCTCACGAGCGACCTTGCTCCCAAGCGTCCAGTGAACGCCATGAGCCCACCTGAGCTCGATGGGCCCGTTGAGTCATGCGAGTACATCGACGTCATCAGTGCCGCGAGCTCTATGGCCTCTATGAGCCCTAATGGCCACCATAAACCCTATGAGCCCTATGCGCCCTCATGCCCCTCCGAACCCCATAGGCCCTATGAGCCGTGCGAGCCGCATGACTCCGATGGGCCGCATGAGCTGTATGGGCCCTGTGAGCCCTACGTCGCCTGTGATCCTATGACGTTATGACCCTCTGAGCCATGTGAGCCCAACGAGCCTCATGAGACCTACAAGCCCTGTGAACCCTGTAAGCCCTATTTCGCTTATGAGCCTCATAAGCCCTGCAGGCCCTTTGAGCTCTATCAGCCCAACACGCCCAACGAGCCGCATGGCCCCAGGGAGCCTTCTCAGCCCTATGAGCCGTATGAGCCCCATGGGCCATGCGAGCCCAAGGACCCTCACGACCCGTAATGAACCCTATGAGCTTCATGAGCATGGCGGGCACAATGATATGAGCCCCATAAGTCTCATAAGCTTGATGAGCTCGCCGGCCACGGGGAGCAAGAGCCCGTGATTCCTGTTTGGCCGAAACCCTCACGGTCCCTAGAACTTTGATGAGCTCATCAGCCCGAGGAACCCTATGCACCCAATCACGCCTGCGGGCCCTCGGAACCCCATGATCCCCATGAGCCGCTGGCTGAATTACCCCTCTTCCAATTAGGCTCCGAGCCTCTGAGCCCCAAAGTCGGCGGAGAGGCCTTTGAGCCCTCTGACCCGGTCGAGCCCACGGGTCCTGTCAGCCTCGAAGAGCATCATGGCAGTGGCGTGTACCAGTCGCGGCGGGCCTCTCTGGCAACATGCGATCAAGATCTTTAATGCGACGCGAAACGAGCTGGTAAAATCTGGTGTGTGTATACATACACGCATACATATATACATACAGAGGAGAGACAGAGATATATTGAAAGTGGTCGAAATCAGGCAGAACTTAGTCCGCAAGACATGTGGATTCGATTGACAGGCGGGTGGCGCGACGGACAAAGTAGTATATTGATCACCAATCCGACGCGAAACTGATTGTAAACCGAAAAATGTGTCCACGCCTCCGTTCTCCCCCCTCCCGAACATCCTGATCACCTCACGGGGGATCTTACAGGTTGTCAGACACTGAGGAATGAGACCAAAGTGAAAGGAATATGCCCTGCATAGGGAAGTCTGTTTGGGTTTCTGCTTGCGTCGTGCGCGCGGGCGAGGCGAAGCTGTTTGAGAGTGCCAGAGGGATCTTTCACGAGGCAGCCGCATGCCACGTCATATCGCCGCGCAATTAGCCATGGAGTCTTCCAGTCGTGTCACGTGATCGTTCACGGCTGTTTTTGAAGCCCTCTGACATTATTTTGTCGCGATTTTGTGGTCACCGAATCTTGCAGGAGTTCCGCCGTTCGCCGGAGGTGTTTTTTCCCAACCATCCTGTGGTGTTGGGTCCTCGTTTTGAAGAGACGGTGCCCCGCGTTCCTCTCCTTCCTCTCCTCCTCCCTCCTCCCCCTCCTTGCCTCTGCTCTCGGCGCACCTCTCACGCGCTTCGTAGCCCCATAGGGAGCTCCACCGAAGGCCCCAGTGGGGGTGTTCGCATGCGGTTCCCCCACCCAGGGCAGCGTTTCGTGGCCCCATAGGGAGCTCCACCGAAGGCCCCAGTGGGGGTGTTCGCATGCGGTTCCCCCACCCAGGGCAGCGTTTCGTAGCCCCATAGGGAGCTCCACCGAAGGCCCCAGTGGGGGTGTTCGCATGCGGTTCCCCCACCCAGGGCAGCGTTTCGTGGCCCCATAGGGAGCTCCACCGAAGGCCCCAGTGGGGGTGTTCGCATGCGGTTCCCCCACCCAGGGCAGCGTTTCGTGGCCCCATAGGGAGCTCCACCGAAGGCCCCAGTGGGGGTGTTCGCATGCGGTTCCCCCACCCAGGGCAGCGTTTCGTAGCCCCATAGGGAGCTCCACCGAAGGCCCCAGTGGGGGTGTTCGCATGCGGTTCCCCCACCCAGGGCAGCGTTTCGTGGCCCCATAGGGAGCTCCACCGAAGGCCCCAGTGGGGGTGTTCGCATGCGGTTCCCCCACCCAGGGCAGCGTTTCGTA